AGGAGCTAATGCCTTACTAAAAAAAGCAATAGGCCTACCCTCCTGCATCAAAACTGCCCCCATCCCTTTAGAACATGCATCAGTCTCTACAATAAAAACCTTAGAAAAATCAGCCAAGGTCAATATAAGGGTATTAGTCAAGGCAGTCTTGAGCAATTGAAAGGTTGTGTCAGTTTTCTTGTCCTAATGAAAGGCATTCTTCTTCAATAGGTTGGCCAGTGGCTTGCTTATAACCCCATATGACTTCACAAATCTTCTATAGTAACCAGTTAGGCCCAAGAATCCTCTTCGATCCTTAATTGATTTAGGAGTTGGCCAATTAGCCATGGCCTCAATTTTAGAAGGCTCGGTAGACACACCCTTCCCTATGATTACGTGGCCCAAGTATTCGACTTTGTACTGTCCAAAGGAACACTTGGAGAGCTTAGCAAAAAGTTGCTCTTTCCTCAGGATCCCCAATACCAGTCTTAGATATTTCACATGGTCATTCATTGTTGCACTGTAGACTAGGATGTTATCAAATAACACCAAGACAAATTTTCTTAGGTATGCCTTAAACACATGGTTCATCAATGACTGAAAAGTGCCAGGTGCATTAGTAAGGCCAAAGGGAATGACCTTGAATTTATAATGAACTAGATGTATTCTGAAGGCTGTCTTATATATGTCTCCCTCCCCCATCCTTATTTGGTAGTATCGTACCTCAAATCAATTTTGGAATAGATGCATGAGCCACTTAACTCATCCATTAAGTCATCTACCAGGGGAGGGGAATTTGTCCTTAATAGTAATATTATTCAATGCTCTATAATCAATACAAAACCTCCAACTCCCATATTTTTCTAAACTAGCAATATTGGGGAAGAAAATGGGGAATGACTGGGTTGTATGATTCCATTTGCAAGCATGTCATTCATTTGTTTTTCAATTTTATTTTTTTGCAAAATAGTTATACTTGTAGGGTCTGATACTAACTAGTATTGCATATGTTGTCAGGGGCATCTGATGATCATGGTTCCTTCTGGGTGGAAATGTTGTTGGTTCAGCAAAAATATCAGTGAATTGGTTTAGCACTCCACTGATGGGTGCTGGTATCTGCTCTTCTCCTTTCAGTTCAGTGGTGGAAATTATGAATAGATGAGTCCAAATGGCTTGGCCCTTCTTGAATAACTGTCTTACCCCACTACCTGTCATCTTTTTCAACTCTCCTTGACTGTAAATTCCCTTGAGCTCCACTATTTTCCCCTTGTGAGTTACCCGAACCTTGTATTCCACAAAATCCAGTAGAATTGGATTGTGTTCCTTCATCCAATCACCGCCCAAAAGCATATCATTGCCCTCAAGTCTAATAAGTCTCACAGAGTCTTCAAATTCTACTCCCTGAATTCTCTATTTAAACCCGGGGCAAGTGTGTAAGCATGTATGTGATTACCATTGGCCATTGTGACTCTCATAGGCATAGATTCTGTAATCACACACACCATCTTCTTAGCAGTATCCAAATTTAGGAAGTTATGAATACTTCTTGAATCTAGCAGGATTGTCACATGGTTTCTTTTAGTCTCTCTTTAAACTAATAGTATTAGGTACCTCAGTTCTAGATAGAGCATTGAGGTTGATAGTCTCCTCTATAACTTTCCCATTCTCCATGAACTCTGGCATTTTGCCTTTAGTTCTTTCCACCCCTTCAATTGCTTCTAATGTTTCCTGAAAGCAGTAATAGCATTGATCTGCTTTTGCTTGCACTGGATTCCTGGAAAAACTTATCACCACACTTGTAACACAATACATTATTCCTTTTGTTGTCAACCCCCCCCCAACTACCTTGCCTACTGAAATTAGAAGATCTCACACTCCTGCACCTTGCCTACTGAAATTAGAAGATCTCACACTCCTGCTACCTGCATGATTTTGTTATGTACTTGAGCCAGAGAAATTGGCTGTGGCGGGGCCCTTACTCCAAGTAGTCTTACCCTTCTTGTTCCAGGCTTCAATGACCCTCTCTTGATGCCTAGCTTTTTCTACTACCTGTCTCAAGGTGAAAGGATTCAATATCTTGACAGTGTGCATGATGTCCTCCTTGAGCCCCTCAACAACAAAAGAACCCTTCAAGAATTGTTGGATTCCTAATTAGAACCCAAGTCTTGAGGTCTTCAAATCTATTCAAGTACTCATTGACTGTACTTTTCTGCTCTACCTTCTTAAATTCTCCTGCTAAATTGAATTTGCTAGTTTCTGCATCTTGAAACCTTTTGCATATTTTATCATAAAATGCTTGCCATCTGATGTCACCTCTGCTTAACTGATAGGAAAAATAACAAGCTTCAGCCCTTCCATTGAGGTGAAGGACTGCTTCTTCCAATTTCTGTTCTGAGTTGGAGATGTGGTTGTAGTGGAAGTATCTTTCACACTTCCTCAACCAAGAACAAGGATCAGTCCATTTTGCACCATCAAAATAAGGAAATTTTACTGTGGAATTATGATTGTTGTGCTAAGTTCTCTGTAACACCAAGGAATTTGCTAGAGGGTTAACCCTTGGTCTACTACCCGAAGGCCCTAGCTGTCGATTCTCCAATGGAGCACTGCCCAAGACCCCTGCATGATTGGAAAGAAGTTTCTCCATCAGTAAATCAAGTTTCTTCCCCAATTCGTCGAGTTTAGCATCATTAGAATCAAACTTCGCAACTGTATTTGCCATATGCGTTTGTAGTTGGGTCTCCAATTCTTTTACACTTTCTTCTCTAACTTTGGCTCTTGTTTCTAGAATTGTCATCTTGACTCACGGGTGCCAAGATTAGCCCTGATACCAATTGTTATGTACTGAATTGTATAACGAGAATTTAAGAGTAAAAAAAAATTTTATTAGCTCAGAACAGTATTACAATACTACTCTACTACAATTAACTAGAGTACAATATTAGCCTAATACTCCGAGGAAAGACGCCATGGAATTGAGCTTCAATGGTGATAATTCCCTGTATCGAAGTAGCTGAATATCAGAGGAAGAAGAAGATGATCGGGGAAGAAGAGAAGTAAGAGAGAGAGAAGAAGAAAATAGAGAGGGAGTGAGTTAGAATAGAGTTTTTTACACACTTGATCATTTTTTAATTATTATTTTAAAAAATAGCATCATTTATTGTTTATTCCATAAAGAGCACTTTTTATTTTCATTATTAGCACATTACAAAAATTAAGCCCAACATTCATCTTCTTCACTCCATTTTTTAAAATTTGATGCATATGTGAATGCCACCTAAATTCAAGATGTATTGATTTATACGTCTTTTATACTTTGTATATCAAGTATCACTTTAATTCAAAATATATTTTTATGTATATAACTTTGAATATTTATTTGTGAAGTGCCATCTTAATTTAAGATGTATTTTTAATGTATATTTCGAATATATTTTATATGTCAAGTGCCATTTTAATTCACGATGTATTTTTTATATATATATATTTTGTATATTTATATGTCATCTTAATTAAATTTAAGATATATTTTTTATGTATATTTCACATGTCTAAGTGTCATCTTAATTGAAGATGTATTTTTTATGTATATTTTTTGTATATTTTATATGTGTTAATTCAATGTATATTTTTTATATATATGTTTTGTATATATTAGCATATATTATTATCGAAGTAAGATCTTTATGTTAAGAAATGAAGAAAGAAGGAAGAAAAAAACTTAAGAAAGATAATTAAAAAGAAAACGAATGGAACAAATTTAGAAAATATATTGGCTTCCGCAGAAAACAAAATTAAGAAGATGAAGAAAAAGAAGAAAAGCTAATAGGTAAAGAGAAAAAGGCATGATTTTTGTACAAAGAATTATTGACTTTCTATTTAAATTGCTTATGTTTAGAGATTAATAATTAATATTCCTATTTTAATGGAACTGTGTGCTACAAATATAAATATTTTTCTGCCACAACTGTAATATTGAATTTTATGCTAAGAATTTGTTATATTTCTTTTAAATTATGACAGTTATGTAAAGTTCCCGTTAGAATATTACCGGATCATTAACTGCCTTATCCATTGTTGATCATCTCCTTTTATCAACCCCAACTGAATGAGCTGACTAAGCCCAACCAACTGAGCCCAAATAACTGCTCCAATTAATCTGAGCCCTCCGATATAGAACAGCCCCACTAATTGCAATCGTCCATCATGGTGTAGTTAGTCCACACGTGTAGGAAACAATGCTCAATAATTTGTCACGTAGCTCTCCTCTTTTTATTCCAAGCTTTCCTATTTCGACTACCACTTTCTAATTCTGAACCCTATACTCCCAAATTCGATCCCCTTTCCTAATTAAGCCCACCTTCAGACATAACATTTCTCTCCAAACATGCTATCTATTACTGCAGTTTTACATGAATTCAGGACTCTTCAGCTTGAATTCTTTGGTGTAGTCACTAATGCTACAAATAACAGTTTGAATTAGACTAGCTCGAGTAAAATACAGTAATTACAGAGAGTCAAAAGAGTAGCACCACCTATGCCACGTAGATCAAATTTGACTTCTATTTGTATGTAACCGAAAGCTGACAAACTAGAGTACGTGGTCCAGAAAAATATTTGCCCAGCAGCTTTTCTTTGAAAAAGAACAAGTGAAAAAGAAGGATGTAGCACTTTCAGCACGCACCATCACATTCCAAAGCTTCTGCTTTTGTTTCCTTTGACCATTTTTGTTTTCCGCTACTTGAATTGGAGATCAAATATGATGATCCAGGAATTAGGACCACCAGAAGAGTTATAAATGGTAACAGGAAAACTTGTTCATCTTCTACTAATTAAAAGGTTTTCTTTTAACAAAAACAAAATCCTGCTCTTTACGTTATGTCAGAATTTCTCTTTAATAATTCAAATAATGTAACATATTTGTGCGTTGCATCGGAAGGAGAGTCGTGGCCTCAAATCTCAGACAAATGAATGAGACCTGAGTAAATTCTTCCACAGTATAAAATAAACTTGCCAGCGAGAAATAGAAAAGGAACTTTTAGCACATTCCTTCAACAGTATGAATCTTAACTGGTACTAGGAAACAAACTGAATTGTGAAGTTAAAATCTAACCAGGGAATGCTCAAATGGGCCTATAAAGAATTGAAGCTGGTATTCTGAGTACATCTATAAACAATGAAGAAAATGAGTTGAAAATTTGTAGCGAACACAAAAAGGAAACTGACTACTGCTAATCTTACTTCCACCGGAGGGATTGCCTTATCCCAGTGTAGATAAGCCCCAAAGACCGTCCTATCAAGCAAACCAAAAAGAATGAGATAGCATCGCTCAGCTTAGAAATAACAGTTCTTATCACCGGCATTGCAATATCAGCCAATTCAAGGAGAAGACTGTAGTAATATCTCCTGAAAGGTAAAGAAAGATAACGACAGTAAATAAATTATACTTCGGGCTTGCTAATGCCTGCACAAGCAAAGACGTGGGGCAGTACCAAGATGACTCAAAACAGCTCTTCCATGTATCTTTGTCTACAAAATAAGACTTAATTGACCAAAAAGTCTGTTAGGGCTTCAACATTTTGAGATGCCAATATAATCAGTGATGTAATATACCAACTAAAAAGACCGATCCACAACCAGGATATGTGGATCAGGAAGCAACTTCTCGCTGTCTACGAACAATTCTCAATTTGAACAGCATGCCCAATCTTTTGGGCAGCTCTGCAGCATTTGATAATTAAAAAGATCAACTAATTATTTTGTCATTATTTTGACAAAAAACAAAGATTCTCATTATTTTGCTACGCTCAATAATATAAACCTGGCACACTTCACGTTTGTACAACAGCCCGCAATTTTACCAACAATTTCCTAATTGGTCAGTAGTAGAGCAAGTGCTCTGAACCTTACTATCATGTCCTTTAATTATAATTGCAATTCTGTCACCTTAGCATAACCAATTATCAGTGTAACTCTCTCGGTAGCAGAGATGAGGATGTTGAGATGGATGTGCGGGCACACCAGGTTAGATAGGATCAAAAATGAGGTTATTCGCGACAAGGTGGGTGTGGCCCCAATTGAGGACAAGATGCGGGAAGCGCGGCTTAGGTGATTTGGTCATGTGAGGAGGAGGAGCACAGATGCCCCGGCGAGGAGGTGTGAGAGGTTGACATTGGAGGGCCTACGGAGAGGTAGAGGTAGGCCAAAGAAGAGGTGAGGAGAGGTGATTAGGCAAGACATGACGCAACTTCAGCTGACCGAGGACATGACCCTTGATAGGAAGGTATGGAGGTCGAGGATTAGGGTAGTAGAGTAGGTAGTCTAGAGTGCTCATAACAGTAGTATTGGCACGCAGTCTCGCTTTCTGTGGGTAGTAGATTTTTATGACAAACCGTTGTTTTTTTTCATTGTTGATTACCTTACTATCTTGTTGTTTTTATTCTACTTTTATATGGCTTTTTGGTACTATCCCTTCTTGTCTATATTTTCATTAATGTGGTGTTTATGCTTTCTTGAGCCGAGGGTCTATTGGAAACAGCCTCTCTATCCTCACAAGGTAGGGGTAAGGTCTGCGTACACACTACCCTCCCCAGACCCCACGGTGTGAGATAATACTGGGTACGTTGTTGTTGTTGTAGTGTAACTCTCTCGGTAAGCAATCATGCATTTCCTCTGTCTATGGTCATAAAATTATCTTATATCTGCATTTGATAACTAAGGACATATCAGCTACAACATTGGGACCAAGGCTAATTTTTTCTAACATTTGGACCCAAGTATCTCAGGTAATGAACTGAAAACCAAAATTACATGAAACACATTACTAACCTTGACAATTACCCGAGAAGATCCCAGGGTCCAGGACATCACAGGAAGAAGACCAAAAAATTAAATGCATGATATGAAATAAAGCATGAGAAATGAAGGACTCTACTTACCACCCAGTTAAGGCCCTAAGTTCCTTGGTTCGTTTAACAGCTACAGAGATTTGGTTGATCACAACAGTATTCAGTTGAGATAAAACAGGCTGAGAACTCATCACCCTAAGCTTCTCCCACCACTTCACATTTTGAACTTTGTTCTTGCTAGATTCCTCGATAAGATGGCATTGCAATGTGCACAAGTCAAACCGATCTTCGTACATGGAAACAACTGCGTCCATGTTCTGATGCAACCATTGTTTCAGAGCAACCTGTTAAAACATTTGAAAGGCAAAAATTCATCAGTAGATCAATATATTATAAATTGCAAAATGCATGTCCCTCTCAGACATGGCAGGTGGCTTATAGCTCTAGACTCCAAAACATTTGTGATTTTACAAAAGTTTATTTTGATATTTTGATAAGGTAAAGTATTATTAATAAAAGGTGTACCAAGAAGGTACACAAGCTTTTGATATTTATTGCATTTCCTCCACCAAATTCATCCACCGTCAGTTATCATGAAATTTGTCTTTTTCATGCAGAATTAGAGACTTGGCTGCTCCACATATTTAGATAATCTCCCCTGCAGAATGCGACTATTTTCGTTATTCAGTAAAGATCATTAGATCTCCACTGTTTCAGTAAAGACTATGTGCAGTAGCAACCCGGTATTCCCATATATAAGTAGCAATTGGACAAAACGTTAACCCTAATAATCAACCAAACCACATCGAAGTCCATGAAATCCTTCGACAGGCAAGGAGAAGTTCAGTTAACCAGAGAGAAAAGAAGCTGCCACTTTATTATATCAGCTAACAAGACCATTCACTGCTAGAATTTCCGCGATTTTTTATGAAGGAAGCCGTTGGAAATAATAAATTTTCGACAGCTTTTGAGGCTTCAGAGAGGTCTGAAACCAACTCGTCTCAATGAATTTTTGAGAGCAAAGAGTTGTCATCAATACTTTTCGACGGCATTTTAACTGCCCTTGGTGTATGAAAGAGCTAGTGATGGTTTGAGACTTTTCAACGGCCTTCCATCAGTAAATAGATTTTTGACGGCCTGCCGATGGAAAATGTCACATTTTGGAAAAATATTCTGCACTTTCGGTGGTTAAGTCATTTTCAAGAATCTTTTTTACCTTTTTCAGAGGCTTTACCCTAGAAATCCGTCAAAAATCAGGAGATTACACTGCAATACTGTTCTAGTTTTATGTCTAACACACTACCTATCAACTTCAACAAACAAGCACATCTAATAATCCACTAAACCTCCACCAAACAACTAACACATTCACCATCATCAGAATATCCAACAAAAAAAACATTACATAAGCAATTACCAATGTCAAAACGAAATATTAGTTAGCTTTACATATTGCTTAGAAAAACAACCAAATCTATTGTTTGGTGCATTCAAAAACAACAAAAGCTACACATCGGCATCCCCCTCGTCATCATCATTAGGGTCGAGAAGGGAGGAAGGCCCAAATTATTATTTTCTAGGAGTCTTCTGACCAATGTTGTAACAACTTCATCTACCAATTTTCTCAATGAACCTTTGGAGAAAGGTTGAATTGAATGGCAGGGAAGTGTTTAGTATTGTGAGGGGAAGACGAGGATTTAGCACATAGAACCGTCATACTATTCTAACATTTTATTATAACAATGGCCAGGCCATTGAAAAGTTTCAAACTATCACAAGCTCTTTCATACAACAAGGGTAGTTGAAAATTCCGTCAAAAAGTATCGACAACATCTCATTTCTGTTAAAAATACATTTCAACAAGTTGGTATTCAACCTCTACGAAGCCGTGGACCGACAGAAAATTATTTTTACCGCCTTTCCGGTGATTTCCTCCATCAAAAATCCCAGAAATTTAGCCGTGAGAGTAGTTGGAGGTGACATGTGAAACTTTAATTAATCCTTGTTTACCCATCCCTAAAAGCTTAGCCTACTTAGAACAGCAGCTTACAAAATGTAAGATGCGCAACTCAATATTTATGCCATGAAATTTACATGTTTAACGCATAACCATGTCAATTATACATCTCAAACTTTAGTTTCTTTTAGGCTTCATCTTTTCTTCATATTCTTTAGGAGACAAGTCCAGCATATCAACTAGCTAGAGAAAAAGGATCATTTCGATCATTAATGACTTTAGTTTAAGAATGTATTATGACAAATAAAGGAAAAATGCAATGCCACTACCAACCGGTAACATGAGCACAGAAAACAAAAGCCAGCAGGCAGAACCTGAAGTATCAACTTATAGTCTCCATAAAATGAGGTGGACAAGAATATCTAAGAAAGAGCAGAGGCGATTCTGAATGAAGACAAGTTGTGAATATATACAGAGGAGGATCCATGATTAACACAATTAAAAAAAATGTTTGTAGCCACATAGAAGTAATACCTCATTGCGTAATTTCTGAAGTGCCCGCGTTGACAATGTACACAAACTCAACCCTACGTTGTTCATTTCATTTGACATACTACTATCAACAGACATAAGCTCCAAATACATACTTGCGATCCCATCTGCCAACATTATCACCAAATCCTCCAGTATAGAGACTCCATGCTCCATAAACAAGCTATCACTATAAAAGCCAGCTTTCCTGCCATGATAAACATTAGAGAACACTAAGGCATCTTCTGGATTTTTCTCTCTTTTTTTTCCTTTTGGGTTGGGAGTATCCAGACTCCATAGGGACGTCAAACCATACCAACTGTGAGGAGAACATAAGAAACAGTAGCAGACCAGAACTTTTGTTCTGTTTCAGTGAAGCTAAAGTGACTATTTGAAAAGACTTTAATGTTCATGGGAGATATCCAAAAATGTGGTAGCATGAATTTTTTTTTTCCTTTTGAGAAGGTAAAGATTTTATTAAAACAGTACCAAGATGGTATGCAAAGATTCAGAGAACATACCAAAACAACAAACACTCCCTACATTCCACCTAATACAGGAAATCCATAAACTGATACAGATCCACAAAGAACTACCCTAATACCAATGTGGTAGCATGAAATAAAGGATGAGAAAAAGATTCTTCTGACACAACAAGAAAAAACAATGTTCGAAAGAGGGACTCAATGACAACATAAAGAAAAAGAAGAAAAAAAGATTTTTCTAGAGGCTGAAACTCTAACAACATGAAGAACAGGAATAGAAGACTTCCTAGAGAAGTGCTTGGAAATTCAATGGTAAAACATAGAGACTGTTTTGCTTGAAAAAATTACCGGAAGCATGACTGTAATGAAGGACAAAGGAGGTGTCGTCGTAAGGGCCACCGGAAAGAGCAATAACGCCAAACACTCATCCAAAAGGTTCACTGTGTTGTGGAACAGTCACCAAAAAAAGTCACAGATGGTAAACATATGAAAGAAAGAACAATCGAAGTAGGACGCATAAGGCCATGCCAATATGCATTCTTGGAGCTGAAGAGGAAGAAGGCGTACAGATATGTGATTTCCAAGATTGAAGAAAAGCAAAAGGGTTTGTTTTTGAGAAAACTGGCAGCCCTGCTGAACTTCGATGATTTACTGCTTCTTTGGTGGTGTATGACCAGGGGCGGATCTACTTAATAAAATTGGGTTCACGTGAACCCATAGTCTTCCCAATAAATCAGATATTCCATGTATATAATTCACATAAATTGTCTAATATTATATTCTGGCACCCATTCTCTAAAAGAGCTAAATGGTTCACTGGATGGATGGTTGGTTTTATTTCCCTAAGGTCAAGGGATCGAATCCACTTGTACTTCGTTCTTGTATGATTTTCTTTTTCCTTTATTTCTTCCTTTCATTTGTTTTCCAACACACATGCTACTCAATAATCCTTATTTCTCTCTTTCAACTTTTCCTAATATCTATTATCTCCTCATCCCAATTTATGCCAACCCCAATCCCAATTTCTTAGTTATTAATTGCTTTTACCTCAAAGAATTTTGAACTGTTAGAATAGTTTCTTAATGAATATTGTAGTTTTGGCAAATTGACTGAACAATAAATTACACAATGAACTTGCTTAAATATTTTGATTACAATCAAATTATTTAACTTTTGTCCATAATGTTTTTATTATAGCATATAGTTTATTTTTGTAAGCAATTTCCATATAAAGAATGTCATATATTAATATTTTTTTTGATTTTTCCCGTGCTTCTTTTTGCACAAGTTTCAATTTTTATTGTATCAAATTGTCACTAACAGTCTATTTTACCTCTTTGTTTTGAAATATCAATGGTAAGAATTGAATGGTTTAAAAAATATATTGTATATCTTTTTGAATGATATTCAAAATTAATAATAAGCTATAAATCACCAAATGTTCTCACATCGATTGACATTATTGACAAGCACCACATTTACATTAAAGTAGATGGTGCACCCATGGTTTCAAAATCCTGGATCCGCCTCTGTGTATGACTTCGATTTTATGACTTCAGAGAACTCCCAGAGAAGCAAGACATTCTTTTTTCATTGGTCTTCTGCAACCTCTCGTATCCTTGAGCCCTCTGTAGCAACCCCCGGCTTCCTTAAATCAAGGTAGAGAATTAGCAGGGCCTTACCCCCTTATAGTGAATGGTATCGCAGCTTATGTTCGGCCCTATTACTCACACAGGAAAATTCTTCTTAAATAATAAGCATCTGGGAAGGCTGATTTCCAGTTACCCATTTAGCTTGTTGGTGTATATGGTGTTGGCATTTTTTTTTTCTTTTTCCTTAGATGTTTGAACACTTAGGAAGTGCATAACAATACCAGTGGTTCCCAAGCAGTAACAAAAAGGCTACATATCGATATGCAGAAGCTACTTGAATATCTGTCAGGATCGTAAATACTATGCTGCCTTGTTGAATTGTCTAAAAACCTTATCTAAAAGCTTAAACTGCAAAAGAGTTGGCACTTGTGGGGTCCCACTTGTTGTTGTTGTTGTTATTTAGGTATACAAAACATCCTCTTACATGCGAGCTCGATTCTTCTTGAGCCAAGCACTTGATAATACTTTCTTTATAGTGGCAGTGACTCTCCAACTGAGAACCTCTACCAACTCTTTTTTGATAAGATTGGTAAAATTTTATTGAAAGAAAGTACCGAGGTATAGAAAAGTACAAACAGAGACTGGAATAGCTGTTACAGTCAACTCAGCATATCCAAAATCTTCAAATACTGAAACAAATCGTCATCTACTCTTTCCTTACACCAAAAATATATATTCTACAAACATCTATTCTTCACAATGGTGATATGAGAGATTTTGCCTTCAAAAACACCTACTCTTCCTCTCCAACCAAATGTTCCACATGATGCAAAGAGGGATGGTATTAGAGAACCTCCACCAACTCTAATACCAATTGTTATAAAATGAACCATAAAGCACAACCTGAAAGACTAGCTTGTTAGGTGGGAGAGCTTATTCAATCTATAAACTCACCACACTATTTGAAATTGTTGTGGGATAGGTCCTTGTTCAAGTTGGTTCATTAAAAATTTAAATCGACCAGCTTATCACGATTGGCACCCATTCCTTAGGTCTAGGCAATCACTCTTGGCAATTATCACCCCCACTACGAGCCCAAGCCACCTCTTAGAGCCACGGCCTCAAGCATCGATCAACCAATTCTGATGTAAGGTGAAAGAATTTGACGATCACCCCCCCCCCCCCCCCCCC